AAAATACACCGAAACGTATTTTGATTGATAAATAGAGACAATAAATGACTAAAACCCAGGAATGAATTTGATTTGGAATTGAAACACAGTCAGGAAAGTATATACAATAAAAATGATGATGATGAGCACTTTATACACTCGAAACATGTTGGGTTTTTGACATCCTTGCTTATGGAAAGGACTAAATTATTCAACAAAATGGGCCAAACCTGATGAAACACATTGCGTTCTAAACAACCAATTTATTTCAAGATGCCAAAAACCCAATTTGTTTCGAGTGAATAAACTAGTCATCATCAGGGCCCGGGCGACATTATTTTAATCAATCCATTGTGGCTACTGTCTGTTTTTTGCCATTTACCAGGGGCCTTCCTGTTGATGAGTACCTAGTAGAAACTTATCAGATTTTGACGCAGTTGGAGAAGACAGTGTGTTTCGTGTGACAATTTTTAAAATAGAAGTACCTATACAAAAAAATCCTTCTGCTCTGCTCCAGTTCAGTTCTTTCGAAAATGAACACAAAATTTAATTGCTAAACGATTGTGCCTGACTAATTACCAAAAAAGCAGCTTTTTAGCCGATTTTTAATTTTCCCTTTGTTCTTGGCCTGGTTCGCAAAAATTGCAATATCTGGACATTCAACCAAGCATTAAATCGGTAAACACATTTTTCGGACAATAAAAATCCAACAACACTCAGAAGTTTTCGAATTATTTATTTTAGCTATTAGTTAAAAAAAATAAACAGCCACATGTAGACGAAGCTACTTTTGTCGCATAAACGAAAATTTTACAAAGCAAAAGTGAGGACGTGGCACCAAAATCGTGGTGCGAACTGATTGATTATTCAATAATCCGTAGGATTTTTTCTAATTGTATTTCGTTCTAAACTGATAGGCTGGTTTATCAAAACAATTGCAGAGAAATAATCCGCAATCATTAACAATTAGCAATTCATGATCTAGCTGATTATCAGTGATTAATTTGTGGTATTAATCAGCTAATTCTCTCAACTTTTGAGGATTATATTTTATTCTTAATATAATTTTTTGAAATTCTCCCTCTTCCTATAGAAAGAGCCCTGCATGAGCCTCTCATTCAGTTGATTGGACACAGAACAGTACTAGTGAAGATTTATTTGTTTCGTCTGTGTTGAAACAACGTTAGCCTAGGTTAGTGTCATGTTTGTATTACAAACCAAACTGGTGCAATTTCTTAACTAAGGTAAATAACGTATATATAGTTTTCTAGGTCATTACATTGGCATTAAATTCCTTTTATTATGTAAACGTTCTTCAATCAATTCATTAATGAATCTGTTTATTTTAAGCTCTTATTCTATTTAAAGAAAGTGGAAATTATGTTTATGACCTGTTACTACATACTCCAAGGACTTTACAATTTTCAATTAATTTGACTGATGCAGCTGTGGACAACTCGATAATAATTCATAGTCTCTGTTATTTTCGCCCAATATAACTACTAAGCAAATAAATGTGGAAGGTTATTATGAAGTATATGTGTGATAGCATTGAATTATATAATTGACGACGATAAAAATCTGCTTTAATAATAGTTCGGAATTCCCGGAAGTAGATTCTTTATTCAAATGAATTGCCAACGTTAATTTTGTTGAGTCAGGTTAGCTTGTTTGATTTGCCTTTTTTTTTTTATCAAACTCATGTTTGAGGCTCAGATGCTTAGCTGTGCGTTACATGTTTATTTCGCCTTGCATTCAATATTCGTCAAGACTATAAAGACGAAGGATTTGATCAAGTGACAACGAGGGTTGACTTCACAAACCAAAAACAGGATATAAAAATCATTTTGAACCTTTCATTAGACCTTACAAGGAAGAACGTGAAAAAATTGAGGAAGTCGGCCCAAAACGCACCAATAAAACTTCAATTGTTAAATAGTGACTTACCGCAGCATCAGGGGCATGAGCATTGGGTGTCGTAGGTGGAGGTGGCCTACTAGGAAATCCCTGGGGATGTCCAGTAGGCGCCTGATGTTGGTGATTATGTTGTTGAGGACTTGGAGGCATTTGCCCTCCCGGGCCTGGTCCAGGCGAATGACTTATAGGAGGCTGCGTGGGCTGGGGTGACGGTTGACTCACAGGCACAGAACTTGATGAATTTTGTTGAGGTTGAGAAGGGGATTGGTTTTGAGATTGTTGCGAAGGTTGTGGCTGGCCGGGACTACCTGGACCGTGCTGGGAGTGTTGGGATGCTCCAGAAGGCGGAGGACCGCCCGGCCAGCTTGCTCGCGAATCGTACCCACTCGGTGCCGAACCAGGTCCACCTCCTCCATACGTCGGACAATACTGAAAATGTAGAAATTGGGGTAAAATGTGAACCCCGCCTTGCATCGCACGGCAAGGATATCAACGATCTACTGCTACTCTCAACCTAAATTTCACCGAACTACCAGGCAATGTTGACGAGTATTCAAAATACTTTGATGTACATGCACAAGCAAAGTATCTCGTATAGAATCTACTTGCTCTGTACTCATTGTAAGACGATAACGTAGATTTTCATTCTTTTCTCGAGTTAGAAGAAAGGCCGGTCGGGACGCATTAAACCAGGGATTCACCAAGAGTAACTTTAGAAACAGCAAGCTTAAATCAAAAGGGAATGGTGTTGAGAGCCATGTGAGCTGGCCATATATAATATCAGCCCACAATCACGACAGTCTAAATTGAGGCTAAAAAGCACACATAAAACATCAGTATTCGCTACTGAAGTAACATGCATATTGGAAGAACGTGTGTTCTTGGTCTTACGATGACGCTCCCTTTCCAATAAATATAGGAGACGAATCGACTCTTATTTGTAAGATGATGTGATGATGAGGATGACGGATTTTTAAATGAAAACAATCTGATCTGTGGCAATCACCGAAACCAAAAGAATCTTACTCTCTAAAAATAGAACAAGTTTCTCAAATATGCCCACATAACTCGCTGTCACATTTTTTAGGCATCAGCTTTAGTTGTGGCAATGTATGCGGGCAGTGAACGGGGCCCTAGCAGAACAGTTAAACCTCTGGTGCCCATGCATTTTCTACTCAAAATTGCCCATATCTCCATCCAAGTTAATAACAACAAAATAATGAAAATAATTGTTTTTCGGCATCAGTTAATTATTTATTAGATAAATTTATAATTGTTTTGTCCAGAAATTGTTTATTTTTTATAATAAGTTTCTTTTTTGATTTTTTCGTTGAACAATTTTTCTAGTTTATGGTTATGAATTTATTTTTGAATAATAAATTTTCTTTCATATGTTTTATTAACGGAATTACATATATGATTAAAGTCGTCAAAAGAGATTTTGTATTGTAAGTCTTGTTTTATGTCATGTATTTCGTTTTTGAGTTTTATTTTATTTAACCTGTGATATTGAATTATTAATTGTTCTTTTGATAACAATAGCAGAAAATAGCTATCGAAACGTCAAGGTAATTTTTCAAATTAATTTCTGTACTAAATTTTCTCTTACAGCTTGAGCCTAAGTGTGTCGAAGGTTCTTATTGCGAAATAGGAGCACTATTTATCAATCTGTAATAAAAGACGTGAGGAAATTCTGTCTTTTTCAAAGACAACAATTTTGTACAAAAATTAAAATTATACCTACATTATGCTGTCTCGCCCTGCTAGTTTTTGGTATTCGGTATGTTTTAAACTTTTGCGATCAATGCTTGAAACTCGTTAGTCTTTCGTTGTGGATTAGAATTCCTTCGGTCAGAGGTGGTTTGCTTAAAGCTGGGGTTTTCGGGTTTTTAGCTCGTCACTCGTGCTTGCCAAACAAAAAAAGAAATTCTATTCCACAACGGCCTAAAAGACCAAGAAACACAGCAGATTCAAACTAGTTTTCAGTTGCGAAAGATCTTGAGATTTGCCGTTTAGAATATTGTGAAGTTATGTGTTTCAGTTTGATGCTGCGAGGATCGTAAATAATGTATTACAAATTTGTAACCCCCAAGATTAGTTAGACGTGCATAGAGTAAAATCGGATTGTTATGGCGGCTTTGAGTTTGATATGTGAACGGCGAGGATCAAGATGTCATTAGAATACTACAAATAAATGTGCGTAGGTGATGAAAAATGCGGAAGTGTTTGGCAAGTGTCACAAGTCAGCTGACTGTATAATAACAAAGTGGGAAGTATGTAATCCTATATTAGATCAAGTTCAAGGTCATCTGCATTACCAAAGACAACTGATTTTATGGAATTGGCCCGTTAAAGGGATGACGATCGTTACGAGCGTTTTACGTTACCGAATTACTGAAACTCCACACCATTTCCTTATTCCCCTTCCAAGTCGTTAGTTTAGGGGATAAGACTTAAACGTTTGCCTCAATAACTTAAAAATAAATACATGCAGAGACAGATGGCAACAGTTTAAAAGCTCTAACCAACATGACTGGAATACAGTAGCAAAAAGGATGGAGCACTTACACTTTGTTGTTGCCTATATGGGCCCGGGGGTGGAGCAGGCCCCGGTCCATAATTTTGGGGCCATTGGTTGTAATGTTCCGGATGCGAGTAGTTGTTCGGATATCGATGAGACACAGGATTAGGATTTTTCAGCAATTGGTTTAGAGTTGGTGTGGGGCCAGGTTGCTGATTGAGTGGAGGGCCCGGTGCAAAAGCGGTACGATGCTGCGATGGTAATTGTTTCGGACCCCCAAACGGTTGTCGCGGACCGAACGCGTGATCTGGCCCTGCCGTACCATAGGGAAACGGCGAATATCCGTGGCCGGCTTCCTGCGGAGGCACCGGCGGTGCTCCTTCAGTTGAGTAAGGGTTCGAATCTGGCGGTACCCCAGAAGTTCCCGATCCGTTCGGACTCTCCGCTTCACCTTCCAAAGCCCCATTTGGACCCGCGCCGGCGGCCGAAGGGATCTGACCGGCGGCGCTGGGCACTGCGGTTGATCCACCGCCTCCATCCTGCCTGTATTGACTCATTACGTTTGGCGAGGTTTTGCTGCTGGTGCTTTTAGCCTTTGTAAAGTCGTTGCCAACACCCCGCCGTTATAGTCAACAACCGATATTTTGCCTCATTTTGGAAGCTCCATTTGCAAACTAGTACTTCGAAACACATACTAAAGTTATTCCGAATTTCACTTTTTCACTTCATAGGTTCCTAAAAAATAACACACAACGTCACTTTTCGTATTTTCTAAAACGATGGCCACATCTGACACAACTTTAATTCCGTACCTACTTCAATAACACGAATGGAGGTTATAGCGTTTATGGGTAAAAGTCCGCTTCCTACGCCGTCCCTTTATGGGGAAATTGCTATCTCAATCTTCATGTTTAGAGACTCATTGTCAAGCCACAAACAACACGACACTTTCTAGTAACGTTTTTTTCAAAGCTTTGTCTTATTTTCACTATTGCGACTTGAGAAATTATGGAATAACTCGGGAACTACTTTTCCCTCAGAAAGCACTTTTCCTGAAAAGAACGTCGAAACCTAGCGGCGACATCGGCAAACACTGACAGCTTTGACATTGCACTGTTTACCCGCGAACTCTTCAACGTTCAAAATGTTGAAAACACGTGTCCTAAGAGATCTCATAGCACTTGGTTACTAAGCCTTTTCATATCTATATCGATTAACTGATATCATGTATTGAATTAAAATAATATATAAATTCTCAAAACACTACATCCACATCATTCTGCCATTCATCGGAATAATTGTTGGATTTCAGACAACTGTATTTATTATTAATTTTTATTAATTAAGTGTCTCAAACTTGAGACTATCAAAGTAGCATTTCTTAATTCAAAGCCAACAAATCAACTGCATATCGTCGACAGAAAATTATTTACCTAGAAGTTGTAAAAGCCCGCTTTCATATTCATCATCAGAAATAGTTTATGTCGCATCAAACATGATATTTAAAATTTTTAATAATTCAGGTTGAAGCTTATTGAATGAAATTTCCCAACTATATTTTTTTATATTAGTAACAAAAAAAGACATCTACTAAATAAGAGGAGTTAATTTCCGATCGTTCCCTCCAGATAAGTTATCATTATCTCACTGACATCAGCTGACAATGACATTATATGTTGTGATGGGTGACGTAGATGTTTATTATTGTTGATAAGAAATTTTTAATTTTGTTATATTTCCTTAAAACCTGAGTTTTAAGGAAAACTCTGAGACCTGCATGCGTTCAGTTTGCTGAAAAGATAATTAATAAAATGACTAGGACATAAATGTTTGCTTACATTTTTTGCAATAGAATATTAAAATTTAAGAGTTGAAATTTTCTAAAATGCCCAGAACCAAAATGATTGCCAAAATTTGCCCAGCTTGCAAAGGACAGGTAAGTCTAACACATAAAACACCATTACCATCATACGCCATGTGCTTTGTAACATTACACCACATTAGGTAGACTCACACACAGACAGGAGGGATTTAAATAAGAAACTTGTAAGAACATCAATGCAAGGAGGAAACAACTCCTTATTGATCTCATTAGAATACCCCTGTTTTTCAGTTGCAATAATGTTCTTAACCCAGTCCCTTACTTTGGCTCAACTTGCGACTAGAGTCACCAATTACGCCTTATATAACAGTTCTATACAGCGTTATCATTTATAAATTCCTGAATGTTTTACACCCAAGAAAAAAAAACGTAAAGTAAAGCCTATCCCATGATATGCCCAAAATTTTATGATTATGCTAAATCAAAGAATAATTTCAATTGTAAAAAAGCTCAACCACCATTGCTGCATTCTTTTCAACCATTAGAAAAATTAGGATGCACTTAAGCCAGAGAGTGCTTTTTAATCAAGCAATATTATACGGAACGCCTACTATTATCAATCGCGGAAATGTAATTTAATGCAACGCCTATTAATATTTACATCACTTAGATTGTAGGCATTAAATAGTGGCAACTTTAACGTTTTCAGCTAATTCTGCCAATTTAACAGACTCCCTGATCTACCAATATTGTGAATAATTTATTCAAACATACTGCTCTGCTTGAAATAAAATAGCTGAGATTGTTTTTTTTATCCATAGGTGCCAGTAGCATGTAAATCATGCCCGTGTGGTCACTTTTTTTACAATGCCAGAAGAATTGCAAGAGAATTTGCAATTGAAGCTGATTACCTTAGACGAACTGCGCGAGTACGACGTGAAAAACCTAACTACTACGACGCTTTAGAATATGACAAACACATCAAGAAGGTAAATAGTAGAATTAGTCACTGATTGTATATTTTTTCAGTAGAAATATCAATTTTTTTGTATGTTTTATAGCAGGAGACTGTAGTTTTATTTTCTTTTCAGTTAAAAAAGAGGCTAAGTGAATCAAAAAATGAAGATGATGAAGATGAGGAGGAGGTTGTGGACAAGAAAGAAACAAAATTAAAGAGAAAGAGACAAAAGAAGGTCGAAGAAGATGATGAGGATGACCCCATGGCAAAGTTGACACCAGAAATGATGAGCCATTGTAGTATGATATTAGACAGTCTTAACAGTAAAATGCAAATTGTTACATGGAAACCCAATAATTAGCAATATTTTGATATTGTGTATTTTGATTTTCACTCAAGGCCGTTTTTAAGTATGGACTTTTAAAATAATTTCTTTTTTGCATCGTTCTCGCCACCACTCGCAAATACATAATACATAATACGCAACTCGAAGATACTCAGCTCCAATGTTGCATACCATTTTCCCTACACATTTCTATATTTGATCGCTTTCGATATTTCATAATGATTTAAGTAAAATCTAAAATTATTATAAAACTGCTAATATATAAATACTTATGTTTATCAATTGTCGTGAATTTCGGTATCAATGATGCAAAAATAGGTATTTAAAAAAGTTGTTGATTATTTTGAGTTTTACGTACTGTTAAAAAAGTAAATACTTAAATACACCGTCGTATAGAAGTTGCTTAAATGGAGTGGTTGGTTGATTTGCCCATTATCTGATCTAAAGACGATCGTCGCTGATTAGTATGAGTGATGAAAGTATTTGAATACCTGGAGTAATCAGCGATTATTGTAACGTAAACAGAATGATTGATATTTACTGTCCAGGTCACTATTATCAACATTGCCTAAATATTTTTTTTTTGAATCTCCAACTATCTTGAGGCAGCTTTGGTTGAATGACTGCTAAACTTGTGGTATTACAAAATGTGCAATGCTGGATTTGGGAAAGATTAGAAGTTTTACTTGGTTTCACTTTTCTATAATTTCTTTATATATATTTTTACATTTTTAACTACATTCAGAATAGGTAAACTGATGCATTAAGGCTACAAAGTTAATTTAGTTCCTAATTCGTGTTATTTCTAAGCTTTTTGTGGTCTGTGATGTGATCCATGTTTGCTGTTGCATAAATACATAGAAATGTTGAATTTTCCAACGTAAATGGCAAAATTCCAAATATTTTCCAATAACGAATTTGGGTGGATGTTTTGTGATGTCAAAGGCCATTGTACTTTTCGTTTAATCTTTACAAATCGGTTGGTAAGCAGTTATTACAATCCATAAGTTTTTTCGTTAAAAGAATTATTTTACTTTTAATATTATATAAAAGTACAAATCCTTAAATTTATTTGGTATTATTAGTCACTTGTCGATGAGCAATTTATGTTATATTTTATAATATTGGGCATCAGTAATGTTAATAATGTAAATAACATTAAAATATATTGAATGTACATATTTAATAATACCTTTATTTGCGAAAAATTGGCCCATTGAAACGAAAGCGCAAAAACTTACCTGATAATTAATGAATAAGACTTTTCGGGAAATTAATTTAAACAGTTGTTTTAGAACAAAAATATATTGCTTTATTTTTATCTTAAACTTAAACATTCAATCACACTGGCGGTTTTCCGTAATCTAGATACGAAAAAAAATGATAGAAAACTCGATATATTACAAAAGTGTAATGGGATTGAAACCACAAGCGTAGTTCCACATCCTAAGAACATACATAATAAGTATTAGACATTAAAGTAAAATATGTTACAAAAATATAAATACGTAAAGCACTTCCCTTGATATGATTTAGTTACAATGGCATTATATAGGTATCCCTTCGAAAACGGATGTTTTAAAGTGCTTGTTTCGTTTTTTTTTTGAGGGTCGGTAGGTATTTGGTGAATAATATATAAACAGACAAAAAATGTTTTGGTTCTGCATGCAATATGTACATTTAAATTTTTTTAACGCACAATGGCCTTAACAAATTCAGCCCTAATTGACATAAAAAACCTACAATATTAATATGCCTACAATTGTGGTAAACAAACATACCTATAGACTTTGTACTGTGTGGCAATTAGAACGATAGTTTTTTTATGTATTATGGGCTGCGACTGCCTGTAAACAGTATTGCGAGTACACAATAACATTAATTTTAAACTTCTGGTTTGGACAAGGCGGTAAAAACGTTGCAAAAGTGCTCAAATTTTGCTGCAAGCTAAATACATCGTATAAGTAGTTGCCAACCAAATTCATTTTACTAATGAAAATTTCTTCATCAGTAGGTTGATGTCTACACTAAAGGAGGATTTGAGTTAATTGCATATTGGGTCAATTACACTAGCAAGTATATAATTTTTTTTGTAGATTTGGAAGGGCATCTACTTATAGAAATTTTTGGCAGAGTTACAAATAGTTTCAATACCTTGGTTTACAATACCATGCCGCTCATTAATGAATAAATAATGAATTAAAGGGGGTTATTCATCATTATCTTCCGAATCTGACTTATCAGCAACGGGCTTTTTTATGCAAGGAACGAAGGCCCAAAGCGAAGAACCGACCGCTAAAATGATCCCTAAACTACAAAATAAAGAAACGAACGATTGAGTGGCTTCGAACCAGACTCCACAGATAGGCGGACCAACTAGCTGAAGAATACCGTTCACAAACAAAGAGATTCCGTATGTAGACTGCAAGCGTTCTTCGCCAAGCATGTCTGCCATTACAATAGCTGTGATTCCTACATAAGTACCAGAAGCTAAACCAAATACTGCACAAAAAGCTGCAATTATCCAGTACTGCTTGAAGAAGGGCATTAACGCTAGTGAAACCCCGGAAATAAAAAGGCCACCAACAAAGTACCAAGACTTAGGAAACTTTGTTAGATCTGAAAGTGCTGAACCGCCCATTCTCCCAACCAGGTCCAGAGCGCTTACTAATGATAAGAGCATAGCGCCGCTGTTTTTGTCAAAATCAAGCTTCATCGCATAGAAGGGCAATAGAATGATGAAATTGGTATAACTGATCGCGTTGGTGGCGTTTGAAATTAGAATAATTAGATAAAGGGGATCTTTTAGCAGAGAAATATCAAATAGCTTAACTTTCTTCGCGGGAGGTGTTCCGTTTTTTTTATTTGTCGTCGATTTTAAGCTGAATGAACTTGCAAATATTTCGGGTTGTAAAGTGAGAGTACTGCCATGGAATGGTGTACTGACATACTGAAAGGAACTAGTCGAGGTACTGCGCTTCGGAGCACCTGAAAATGATGTGAAATTAAGCAGATTGGATTATATGGGGGCTTCAAACCTACCTGCACGATTACTGATCCTTGAGCCATGCATCTTACTATGAGATAATATATCTGTGTCTCCGTTTTGTGCTTCAGGTACCGCATGTAAAGCGGAGTTGCTGTTCATGTTATGTCGCGACCCAGTATAGCCTTGTTTATAGCGCATTACTTCTTGTTTGCCAGTTGGGACGCTAATTTTCCTTTCCCTTTGAGTGCTTTTTGTATGCTGTACTGCGGCACTAGAAGCACTTCGGTTAAATCCGGCATCAGATATATCACTCTGTTCTAAGAAAGGATCGTTATGCGGTATGTGATGCAGGGACGTCATACTGTCGTCGCTCAACATGAATTTCGATTGTTTCAGCTCCGGAGCCTCTTCAACGGTATCTCCATCATCTATCTTTTCTCGTTTAAGATGCTTTTCGACAGGCTCGTAGAAAAGAGCTGCCACGAACACGTTGAGAGTTATACCTCCCATTATTAAGCACGCGCCTTTATAACCGTAGTTTACTAAAATAAGTCGCAACAAAGGGGGCAGTAGAATTGAACCAAACGCCGATCCAGATATACATATTCCATTGGCAATGCCCCTGCGTTTTACAAAATAGCCTGAAACAATATAAACGGTTGGTGGAAATGATAGGCCTGCTCCACACCCAAATAAGAACCCATAAGTGAAAAACAAGTAACGCACAGAATTCGCCCAAAAACTCAATATCATGCCGCCTGCAGCACATGCACCTCCTAGGAACGTTACTGTTCGATACGAATACTTAAGCGATAAAATACTGGATACAGGACCTGGAAATAAAATTCCAAAATTATTAAACTTGTAAAACAGCTCATTATTAAATCGGACGGAGAGCTTTCAATATAGCATCTGAGAACAGAATTGTTGCCTTCAGGGGTCTGAGATTTTTCAAGCGTCATCATTCCGACGAAGATATTCAATCAGTAGCTGACCCCAAAGAGATTAATTGTATATACTTTCCTGACTTTGTGTGTTTCAATTTCATCATCAGTCTTTCTAAAATAACATAGTTAAAACAAATTTTATTAATTTAAAAAACAATCACAGTTCGTCAACAGCCTCATCATATCACATATTAAAATACATCACAATTGCAACACTTTAAAACATTCTAAAATTAATTCGGCCTAACAGGTGATTAGTCAGGACAATCAAATTTGGGAAGAGACTAGAATTCTTTGTTCAGATACTTAAATATTTTTACTTACACATGTAGCGCTAAAGCTAAAGCAGCAACAACGCTACACGTGTAAGTAAAAATATTTAAGTATCTGAACAAAGAATTCTAGTCTGTTCCCAAATTTTATTGTCCTGACTAAAATCACCTGTTAGGCCTAATTAATTTTAGAATGTTTTAAAGTGTTGCAATTGTGATGTATTTTAATTGTACATACTTTCCTGACTGTGTTTCAATTCCAAATTTCCAATTAAGCCTTGGCATATATTTAAAAAAATATATATGCCAAGGCTTCAAGTAGCAACAACGCTACACATAGAAACTGATGATGGTGGAAAACACCGAAACGTATTTTAATTGATAAATAGACAATAAATGACTGAAGCCCAGGAATTGATTTTGATTATGTATTTCAATGTGTGATATGATGAGGCTGTTGACGAACTGTGATTGTTTTTTAAATTAATGCATTTTTTTAACTATGTTATTTTAGAAAAACTGATGATGGTGGAAAAATAGACCGAAACATATTTTAATGGATAAATAAAGACAATAAATGACTGAAACCCAGGAATTAATTTTGATTTGGAAAGAGATTAATGTGAACTGACGGGCTAATCTGATATGCTCTCAGCGTGTCGAAAAAATCATCAAGACCTTAATTTTTGAATTGGGATCATCTTACCTAAGGAACTATAAAGGAAATAGCACAACGCCGGAATCCACATTTCTTCGGAAGGAGTGGTTTCGAAGGCTTCTTGAAATTCCAAGAATAGGATTCCGAATGACTTGATTGTTCCAGGGACCAGGATATTGACGAGCGTCGCTCCGAAAAGCACCAGCCATCCCCAACCACCATCTGGGGGCACCATTTTCCACTTTTCCATGGCTTTTTCATTTCTTCTCCTATCCAATAGAATTACACCTGAGGAGGAGAAAACCGAATTACAGAAACCCAGTTATTATTTGCCCAGCAGCGATTTAGTTAACTACTTACCTAAATTTATAAGCAATTATTGACTGGATAATTAATGGAATTTTGAGTCAGCTTCTAAGTGATTTTTTTTTCATATATTCATAGCTACCTCAGATAAACCTTATTTTACGAAAGGTGCCAGTTAGTATCAATTAGCCTTTGAAATGAAAATGTTAGTTAATTGCAGATGAGTTGGCGTGAATATTCCTTGTTCTCTATTACATTTCCCGAGGATCGATTGCTGAAAGTCATGCGCATTTTTTACAGCTACAAGCTCTTGTTTGTGAATGATTGCAAAATTAACTCTGTACTTTGTCGACGAAGTATTTGAGTAATTAATTTAAAATAGCTGCAAGCCACTTTTCAATTACCCCGCATAACAGAGCATTGTTGAAGGTTTTATATAAGCACTATTTGTCTTTTCCGATTAGAACAGCAACACTAAACTAATTGTTAAGTATTTAGTATATCCGCTAAGTAAGTCAAATTATAATTAACAGCGCAGGTATAAGTTGAAATAAATGAATTATTGCTGAGACTTCCACAAAAAAATAATTCTCATATTGCTAGAACGCGGGTTGGCATGTTGTTGCTAGTATAAATGATGTGTGGTAAATCACTTAGCGCTTTTCCGTGCTTATTATTACTAAATAATGCGTCAATTAGTGGCAGTCTCACGAAATATAATCTGAATATTTCATTAGCTTATCGTGTCCACAAGTAAAGTACCCGAAATAACAAAAATACTAGTATGAAAAATCATCTTTTGCCGCTTTAAGTAAAAAAATATCTCAGTCCTTAGAGGCGTACCGTGGGGTTAAATATCTTCGGGGCCGTAACCCTGGATAGGAAATGTATGCTCAAAAAGTGTTTAATTCACAAAATTCACTCACACGTATGTTCGGGATACGGGGCGAGATGGCAGTGAGGAAATAATCGGAGATATTTGCTCTACTGAAGAGACAGAGAAACAGCAAAAGCAGGCACTGGCGCAGTCGAAGGGAAAACATTGGGAGGAAGAATCAAAGAAAATACGCCCCTGTATAAATGTTGTGCTTCCACCGACTGCAATATCAAACCAATTTCAAAGAATTCGCAAGTCTTGTCTAATTAACGATGTAAATGATCAACGTCAGCAACGCTAGATGAAAATAAATTAGTATTGTAAATCATATTCAACATTTTATCACTTTGCGGGTCTGCTTGCAAATGTTTACAATGTACTTAGCATTGGTATTGTAGATCTATTAAATGTTGGTACAGGGCTGTTTGATTATTGATAGGAAATGCCGTTGTATTAGTTTGAAGATGGGAGCGGCTCGCGCTTGCAAAACGTCTGGAAGAAAATTTACGTCAATAGATCGAAGTCAATAACACGCATTCGGAAAAATAAATATTATAATGTTATTCAAAACTGGGAATTTCCGGGAATTAATGACAAAAGCCTGGTAATTGTTGATTGTAAGTAACACACGAATTGAGTAAATAACGTCCAATAAGAATATTTAGTAGAATAACCAGTCAACAATCTCATAGATTACACTATTGATACAATGAGAGAACATTTCAATCTAGGAACGGTTAAACCTCAGTGGTAAATTGCAAGTTGTTTGTGGTATTGAATGACTATCGCGTGACTAAAGACTTCAATGTTATCGCTCGCTGCAATAATGGACATATACATATACAACACACATCTTTTCGTTAAATGAAACATTAAATAATCATGCCTGAAACATGCGGAATAAATGTGTTTCCCGTAGATGTGCGCTGATGTATTTTTTGCAATTCCTTTGATACCGGTATGAATTGAAAAGTGCAGACTTTTAAAAGAATTTCGCATCGATAAGTTTATTGATATTGACATATTTATTTATTTTCTGTGATGCAATTTCAAGTACTTAATGTGGTTTTAACCTAGACGTTGATAAGGCGATAAACGTATTTGTTTAAAAAACAATAAAACAATGAGTAGCTTTGCACAGCTTTTGATTTTTACAATTGCCTAGTAGATCTGGATAACATAATATGACTTCATAACTTTAACACAGTTTAATTAAAAGAACATGAAGTAAAACATGAAGCTGCCTGGTGGCAATTAAAGATAATGGTGCATTTAATCATCCTTCCGTTCTGATATGCCCATCAATTGAAACAACTTTAAAAACTTGATGTTCAATCGCACAAGTAAAATTGCTTACTTTCACTGTGCCAGCTAGTGGAAAAGCAAGAAATATTTATGCACGATAATGCAGAAGATTTAATGTCAATTAGAAAATCACGTTTGTGTTCAACAATTCCATTGAAACAAAACAATTACTTGCACAGCTTGCGTGAATAGTACGTTCACATATGTGTTTTTCTAAGTATCAATTCAAGTACATGAACTTACTAATTAGCCTAATAAAACGTCAAGGTCCCAACCGAACGGATCTGTGTTGCTTCTTTCTTATTAAGCTTATTAATAATTAATTAGACCAACATCTAGGGCCTTTTTAATTGGAAAAAGGTTCACAAAGCTCAATGGTTGTTAGTTGTTAGTAAAGATGTCGTTAAACCACATATTATCGGGCAATTACTAAATACCAGTAAAGGTAAAGCCAGGTGCAAATTTATAATAATCAGTGCTGATTTATTATCGTCGGTATTTTCTTGATATATTAATATTTTTATTTATTATTCCAACTTTATCCAACAAATTGTTGATTTTTTTAACAATCGCCGCTGCTATTGTTCTTTGTTCCCTTGCATTGAACCTCTGGCCTGGCACATGAAATTGTAGACAATAAACGCATACGAGTCAACATACGCTTAGTGGAATGGGAATATAAAACTTACTTTTATTCCTAATAATTTCTGATGGTTTTAGATCCCTGAAGACTTGGCTTTGGCTATTTAGGACTGGAGTTTCATCGTCGTTTTTTGGTAAATTCGCACTTTTCACTGGTTTCGTTAACAGGGGTTCCTCGACGGGACTTCGAGTATTTTTTGCGTTAGTACTCATTTTCGCGAATTTTGAACCGAAAAGTTAAGTTAAAATGCCGAAAAAGCACCAAATTGACTTCACTAAAGCGAACCAGTACCACCGATGTATTCACTGAGAACGGTAAAGAACAGCTGATTCCAGTTCTATTGAATAGTACCTACTTGTGGTACTGAAAGTGGATTTTTGTAGTTATGTGCTGTAACAAACGCGCCGTTGGACGCGACTTCTTGTTGCAGTGTTAACTTACAATTTAACTTAACAATTGCAAACTTTGCATACTACAATTGTGCTTTACATTACTAAGTGATAAAGATGATCTGCCCACTAACCGAACAATAATTTAACCGATTGATATGCGCTACAACACTTCGAAGGACGTACGGTGGTACCACCAAATAAGTTATTAAAAATCTATGTACCGAAACGAAGCGGCAGCAACTGGTTAATTCCCGGTAATTTTGTAATATTCGAGAAAATGATAATATACTAACATTTACATTTAACCGCTGTAACAGAACTAAGGCAATTAATCACATTTTACTCAAACATAATGCGCTATCTTATCGCTACCGAAGAAAGCTTAAATTATTCAGCATTATATGCCTAACACACATAATCCCATTTCTAAATTAATGTTTAATTAGATATATCTACTTAATTCAATTAAGCACATATATATAAAGATGTATGACATTTAGTAATAGTCGTGAGACCCTCCAATTTCACTTCTATGCGCACATATATTGAACCCCAACCGGTTTTTCGAATCTTTTCAACCCGAAAACAGAACAACATTTACCAGTAAATAGATAAATGTTATCGCCTCACATTCATCAACTTCTAATTTATGACCCCATATCTCATAATTCGTTTTTAAATATACAGGGGGTCTCTCAAAATTTCGCGTCCCACAATGTCTTGAATATTCATTCGGTTTGTCGCTCAATTTTGATATATTTCCAAATGAAAAGGACTTTAATTGGAAAACTTCTAAAACAAATAGTGTTCTACTACGAGACGAAAAAGCAACGATGATTAAAAAATGCCACTGGTAGTTTTTCTATGCGTTTAAATTTGGGGTGAATAAAATTACTCAGTACTGGGTTACATTACATTCACATTCTCTGAAAAAATGTAAAATCGCGCAAAAGCAGATTAGGTGAAATTACATCAATGTGTATCGTGATCGGTATTGAGTAATCTGATGTTAAAATATTCAAAATCAAAATTGATAATTGCAAATTAAACACTTTTATGAAGAGTTTTTAAACAAAATTTAGGGTTAAAAGACTTTATTTCCGTTGAATTTTTCTATAATGAAAAACAATTCTGGGAGAAAGTTACAGTTGAGTCCGGATATAACGAACCTGAAGAATAAACTAAAACTGGTTCGTTATATGCGGAGTGCGCTATAAGCGAATAATAAGACAAAAACACGTGGTGTATTTTATTTCGTTGTTTTTACATAGAGTAGATGAAGTTAGTAGGTATGACTAAAAAGAACACAAAAATATAAACAAAATTCAATTTGAAATCTACTTCATAAAGTCTGTAATTTTTGTTTGTACATTTGTGATATGATTAGGAACTTGGCGTGATTGTACAAAATTCCGAGTTTCTGACACTTTTTTTGTCATTTCAGAAATGGTTGAAACCGCATTAGTGTCTACAGTAGAATACGTTTCACCTAAATCGTCATCTTTCTCATTATCGCTTAAAGCTGTAGATGAGGTTACGGAGTCCATAATTTGCTCATCGTTCAACATTTCTCTTGTAAGAATGAAGAAATTATCAATGCTCACATATTCGAAGAAATTGAAATCACTCAATTTGGTTTTAAGTTGTTCTTCGACAACATTGGGACATCTTCGTCTGTGGCATACTCGTAGTCAGAGTCTTTATACTTTTCTAACCATTCGTTAAGTGGAATTTCATC